CTTGTGGTACCCCTTCCCCCTAATTCATACCAGGGAGTAAGTCAGCAGAGGAAAACATTCCCTGGCCTGCCATCACTGCAGAAGGCCAATTTAAATGGCAATGTGCTTAACCCGCTGACCCTTCCACATGCACTACGAGGTAGGTGTGGTTGGTCAGCAACCTCACTTTCTGGAGAGGAATACTGAGACCGGGAAGACTGAAGGAACTGCCCCTCCACCACTGTGTCACACTGCTGGTCCATGCTGGAGAACGACACAAACATTGGCCATCAGATGCCACAGCAAGCACTCTGTCTCCATGGCCATCTGCATAGATGCCCCGCATGGCAGTGCCTCCAGCAGCCAAGATCTGTGTTCTTGTCTCTTACCTCCATCCATTTCAACTGCAACCAAGCGATCTCTTATGATAAAGGAGATTGCCTTTTGACCTGCTGACCTTCTCCTGTCCTGCACCTAATCTAGTCTTGACCACCCCGAGATTCTTTCCTCCTCCAGGCAAATCTCCTCCTGCACCATCTTACACAGAAGCCACTGGATTCTGAGAGTGTGAGATGTGGTCACTCATGACTGACATTTGATGTGACATCAATAGAAATTGCTAGCTTTGGAAGAACCTGTATCAAAACAGAAAACAACACATTTCATCAACACATTTACCATCACTCCTAACTAAAAATCACAGTACTACAGTTTGGATATAGTTTGAACTCCAGTTCATGAGTCAGAACTGAACTCCAGTATGGTGGTGTTCAGAGGTGGTAGAAACTTCAGGGAAGAAGCATAATGGGAAGTGGATATTGGCTCCCATCCTGTGCTCTAGATTCCCGCCCTGCCATATGATCTATACCTCTTTTTTCATTTTTCTTTATTAAGAAATTTTCTACTCACACTACTTACCACCCACAGATCCCACCTCCTCCATGCTCCCACCCCCCCAGCCCTCTCTTCCAAGCCACCCCGTACCCCCACATCTCCCAATTCAAGGTCTCCCATGGGGAGTCAGCAGAGCCCGGCATGTAGCTAGAGTTTTCCTGCCTTGCCTACAGTCAGGACAAATTTTTGTCACCTGCCAGTCCCACAGCCGCTCAGACCCAACCAAGTAAACACAGAGACTTATATTGCTTACAAACTGTATGGCCGTGGCAGGCTTCTTGCTAACTGTTCTTATATCTTAAATTAATCCATTTCTATAAATCTATACCTTGCCTCGTGGCTTACCGGTACTTTACATCTTCCTTGTCCTGGCGGCGGCTCCAGGCCGTGTCTACTGCCTTCCTGTTCTTCTATTTCTCCTCTCTGTTAATCCTGCCTATACTTCCTGCCTAGCCACTGGCCAATCAGGTTTTATTTATTGACCAATCAGAGCAATTTGACATACAGACCATCCCCCAGCACAGCCAAGTGCCGATCATCTCAGACACCTGCACTCAGGCCC